CCAAGGACTCCACTGCAGAAAGTAAGTTTATAAATGTTTAAGGGAGGCTAGCCTTGAGCTTTCCCATAGGACAGAGGGAAGGGAAAGATAAATCAAATAAACTCCAGCTAGATAAGCAGTCTGGGTGAAGGACAGGAATGGGGGCGGGGAGAGAGGGAGCTGAGGAGGTCACAAAGCCAACAAGCAGTAAAGTTCATTAGAGCAGAGCATGAAAGGAAATTGTACACACACTTAATAAAGAAAGATCAAAACAAGAGAGATGGGTTCCCAGGACCTCACTCTCGTCGGCGTCTGGCAACAGACTTGTATCTAGGACAATGTGAGCAAACCAGACAGAGGACACAGTGGGCTAAGAAGTCACAAGCGTTCAGAACAGACTCTAGCATCTCCAGAGCACTGAATGCATGAGAAAGGCAATCCATCCAAACCATCAACTGCAAGGAGCCATCAGCTACTGAGGATCCTTCATGAAAGAATCGGAAAGGCTTTTAGAAACTTCAGTTAATGAGGTTAAAGATCAATACACGTCAGAGGATGTTGTTGTCTCTGTCTGGTCTGCCTTGTCTGCGTTTGTCTTTCTACATGTAGTCGTTCATGCTTAGCACATATCAACAGGACAAGATCACATGCACAGGCTCACCAAGGACCACCTGCAATGCCACATTTGCTATTCCCAGCCCGAATTCTCTGCCAAATTCATGAAAACACAACATTTTCTATAATGTATATAAAAAAGCAGATAGGCTAAGGACAAGGTATTGTAGAAGAAGCCCATGGAACTTTAAAAAGATTGGTGAGACATGCTGTTGCTGAGACAAAGAATGATGCCGTCCTGTGAGCTTGCTGAATGCCCTGACAAGGGTGACTGGGAAGCTGTATTGGACATATGTTCCTGACCCACCTTTGCTTGCCTATATCCCAGATGGGACAAGCTGCCTTGCCTCAAGTTTTTAGACCTTGTGGAACAGAGAATCAAAAAGAGGAATTATAATGTCTCTTATATTTTTCTTAAAGGTGACCAGCTATTAGGACTCAATCATGTACTGGTCTAGAAATCAATCCAATATTGGAAGTAACAGTATACATTTGGAAGGCTGGATCTGGACTTTCTCAGAGACATATTTGGAAGTTAGCTGTAGTTCACTATGATGTTAGGATAGCAAGAGATAAAGTTGGGACAGGATCTGGATTTCAAACAAGGGTTAGTGCATGTTTTAAGGCTCTTTTAATTGTCAATCTAAAATTGCCTTTGTCTCTTCTACAGTATTTATTGTAAGTTGCATTGACTATATAATTTCCAATTGTGTTAATGTGTTGAAACCTGGCATTGAAACAGGGGCCTATCAACCAGCTTTTGTCTTACTGCCCTGAGTATCAGAAAACCTTGATTCTCTGAAAAAAGTTTGAAAGTGCTAGAAGAAGTGAGTTAGGCTTTAAGCAGAAGCAAGAAAGTAGTGGATTTGATTATTGATGGTATAACAGTTTTAATTTAATTGCTAGCATCACTGCTTCTGCAATAGCATTGACACAAGGAGTTAAGACAACTATTTTTGTTAACCACCTAGCAAAAAAAGTTACTAATGTATTGAGTATACAAAAGGATTTATATAGGTATCTGGATCAACGGAAGATGCTCTATAACCTATTTAAATTATCTGAAGGAGGTTCAGGGTTCAAGAGTTAGGAGCCATCCCAAGTGTCATGACAAATACCATTGGAGTAGTGTTACTTCTAAAATTTACAGTGAATGTCATTATAATTGGAAAAAAGTTTAAAGACACCTGTAGGGTATTTGGCATAATCCTAACAGCTCTCTGGGTGTTTTAACTTTGCATAGTGAGATTATGAATTTAAAGAATACTGCTCTGTTGAGCTTTGATGCTGCAGATAATGCTGATAAAATTATCCATGGCCTGAGGTCAGTATTTCCATTTTGGACAAACCTCAGGAAAGGCATACATAGCTTGATCAGGCTAGCCCTTCTTGTCCTGGGAATACTTTTATTCCTGCCCATTATGTTAAAGCTTGTCTCTAACTACATTGACAGGTTGGCAGCCAAAGTACATGACTTGAAACTGAAAATGGACCCCCCCAAACAGAGTTATTAATGTAACAAGCTGGCAAGCCAAGGATAGGTAAGATTCTGCACAGAGCCTTTCCAACCTAAGACAGAAGTGCATTGCTTATGATAATGCATATTCCATGACAGATAAGGAAGGCTTTCTTGTCAGAACAACCTAAAACAGGCTCAGTCTGGTTTGTGCAATAAAAGGGGGGAGATGTAGAGAGCTTTGGGGGCTGCCTGGAAGGAATCTGTCATTGGCCAAAGACAAGGAAATGGACTGCAGGCAGGAATCTAACATTGAGCTGGAACAAAGAAGTCTTTCAGGCAGAAATCTAAATCTTAAGCTAGAACAAATAAGTAGGCTTCAGACATGAAAATGACTTTGGGCTAGGACAGGGAAGTAGGCTCAGATGCTTTGATCATCCTGATAAGCCCTTAGAAATAGTGATCACAGGACTCTGTTTATTGTCGCACATGTTCTTTGACTATTTGTGTTTATTGTCTTCCTTGTTCCTTGACTATTTACATCTATTGTATAGCTAGTTCCTCAACCTAGAACTGACCTTAACACTTGCATGTAATTTAAACAGTATAAAGGCCAAAAAGGAGGAGGAGGGATGGGATAGGGGATTGATGGGTGGGGGAATGGGGAAGGGGGATGGCATCTGAAACGTAAATAAATAAAATAACAAATAAAAAATAGAAATTAAAAAAAGAAGATTTGCCACAACAGCCATCCTTCACTCTGCAGGAAACGATGGTCCAGTGTCAGCAATGTTTAATGTGTGCTGACTCTCACTCCAGTCCAGCCACAGGAGTTCAACTGCCCTTGTTAGCAAATACAGGATTTATCCCTCATGGATGTAAAGCAATGGACAGCCTGGCTGAGAAAGTCATGACTTGTACAGATGAGATCAGTCCCGAGGGACAGTGACTTTCTACCACAAAATTCATATATTCTGGTGCTAAGCCACACAGCTAGGACCTCCTGGTGTTAAAGTCTCATCAGCACCCTGACATTGTACTTTCAAGCAAACAATTGCTTCAGCTAGGTATTCAATAAGTTACTTTCATATACTATCAGCTTTTTTTTCCTTGAACACTTCTTGATTTGAGTAGACTTTCAAACATGTTGGATGTATCTGAAGCACATTCCCAGTCTTGGTTTCCCTTTCATGCCCACTGTAGAAAGATGAGCTTTGCTTGAGAGTCACATGCTGCTTGAGAATTCAGATCCACTCAGGAGACAGAAAGCAGAACATCCATCTCAAAAAATCCCACAATAGAAAGACCAAGGTTTTCTGTCTGTCTCTCTCTCTCTCTCTCTCTCTCTCTCTCTCTCTCTCTCTCTCTCTTCCTCTCATTGATCTTTGAAAGATTGCTTTTTCCTAAATTATTTTAAGGCTTGTCTTTACAGAATCCAAACATTGAAAAATTCAGTTGTTTTTCCCCTTAATTTTACCT